CTCTCTCTCTCTCTCTCTCTCTCTCTCTCTCTATCTCTATCTCTCTCTCGCACACACACACACACACACACACACACACACACATTCATTTGCATTTAAAGCCGCGACAGATTGCCAACCAAAGCAAGAGGATGATGAAGACGATGATGAAGAAAACTAGTAACTTGACCTTGATGTTCTGCAGCCATAGCCGCCTTCGCAAGCGCACCCCTTCGTTCCGAAAGACTGTCGCATTGTCCTGCAGTTGCGCCGCTTTTTTAAACACCACCTCCAGCTTCGCCTGGTGTTCCAGTACCCTCTCTATGTTCGTGATCATCACATTCTTCACGTCCTCGATCTGCTCCTTCACCTGCGCTACCTTGTTCAGCGACTCCGGACTCGCCATCCACTCCTTAAGTCGGGGTGCAAACTCCCTGTCCAACCCGTGCGCTCTGGCCGACTCTGCTCTACCCGTGGCTACGTACCTACTCTGAAACTCCTCACGCACTTTCTCCAGAAAAGCGAAAATCGTCTTCCTCTCCACGCTCTCCACAGCAACGACAAGAAAGGCGTACAGTCCATCTCTAATAAAGTTGAAAGTGTGTCCGTCACACGTGATGGACATCCTGTTGTCGGCCGAGAGTTTCTCTAGACACTGCAGCCCGATCGTCGCGAAATTCCCCGAGAATGGCGCATACTCAGCCAACACTACCGATTCCCTCACCACAAAACAATACCTCATCGCCGGAGATTCCTCCATTCCTCGATATCCTCAAAACCACCTCCCTCCCTCTCCCTCTCTCTCTCTCTCTCTCTCTCTCTCTCTCGCTCGCTCGCTGTGTGTCTGTGGGAGATCGGTCATGGAAGTGGAGGATGCGAATCTCCGGAATGACGAGTCCTCAAAACCACCTCTCTCTCTCTCTCTCTCACTCTCTCTCTGTGTGTGTGTGTGTGTGTGTGTGTGTGTCTGTGGGAGATCGGTCATGGAAGTGAAGGATGGGAATCTCAGAGATGACGAGTAGGGAAGAGTGGGATAAGGACGGGGTCGTGCACGCACGTCGGTCATAGAAGAGACGCCTGACGAACAGGAGTCGTGCACGCACGTCGGGACGCGGGATGATGGACGAGGACGCGATCCTACAGCGGTCGCGAAGTTGGCATGAGGCCGCGATCGGGTATACAAGACACCGTACGGCTGCTGCGCACAAAGACCACGGCAAGTCCGAGAGGAAATCACCTCCAGGAACCTGGACGGAAAAATTGTAACGGATGTGAGGGCGGGGGGACGATAGGAATCGAAGGGTCTCATGATCCACATTGGATGCAATCTGGGAGGGGTCCCCTGAGGTGGTTGCTTTTGTTGCAGCTACTGTACTGTGGCGACGATCGTAGGTTTGAGCCATGTCCGTGTTCGCTCAGTGTTGGCCTTTGTGATGTGATTATGCTTTTCTGTTTTTTGGATTGGGTAAACTGAGGCGGTTTTTATGTTTCTCTTCTGGAGCTGGTTGGGTTGTTTTTATTTCCTATATTATTTTTTATTTTCTTTTATTTTCCTAGTCTGTGTTTTCGTGTGCATTCTTTTAAGCCATGCCTGCATTTGGAGGATACTATCCTTCGTGATATGATTTTGTTTTTTCTAATTTTTCAGGTTGAATATCCATGATCGGTTGCTTTGCTTCCTTCTTCGTGTTGGTTGGGATTTTTTTTTTTTTTTTTTTTTTTTTTTTAATGTATTAGCCTTCTATGTAATGAAACCAGACTGGAGGATACTCGTCAGACGTCGAGGTACAAGTTAACTCAGATCTAGACAATGTCTCCAACAGTCATGAAAGTGATCTCTGATACAAGGTCTCGTCACCAATAGAAGAAGAGAGTGGAGGGGGAATAGACAATAAGGGGGTGGAGGAGATAATCAATGACCACCAAGAGAGTAGCCCAACATTACCCACTCCGTCGGGCTTCCCCTCGCCTCCACGTCATCAAACAGTATCCAATAACGAATCTGACAAATCCTGATCACATAGAAGTGCCACGTGGCACTATTCTCCCATGGAGACAATGAAGACAAGTAGCAGCGCACAATATCAACGTCAACCTTAGGTAAGTACTTCCTTCCTCAATCGTCCACAGATCCCGACTTGTTGCAACCAATCACGTCATGTAGACAGCGTGGCCAGTGCCACGTCAACAATGAAGACAGGTGGCCTGCGCCACATCAGCAATGAAGACAGGTGGCATGCGCCACATCAGCAATGGAGACAGATGGCATGCGCCACATCAACATGGAGACAGGTGGCATACGCCACATCAGCATGGAGATAGGTGGCACGCGCCACATCAGCAAGGCCGCTCAGAAAGAAGGCGCCAGCATGTTGCCACAGTCCTGTGTCGTCCTCCACAGTGCCAGCGCACAGCCAGCCTCAAGCCTGATCCAGCCAGCGTCATGCCAACGTCTAGCCAGCGTCAAGCCAGCGTCAAAGCAGCATAGCAAGACTGAATATTGACTTCCTGGAGACCAAGTCTTATGTAGTGTTTGACGAGGCAGTCTGGCTTCAGGTCTCCCATCCACAGTCGTCCAGATTGACTCACAGCCGAGGGCCTGGATCGTGTACAGTTGCAGACTTCCACTTGGTCCTGATGTTGTCTTGGTACCTGCATACAAACAAGTGTGTGCGTCTGACCGGCGACCTGGGCTGGGTACACTTTGACTTTGATTGTTGGGCGTTAGGCAGTTGACTTTGGTCAACTGTCGCCCGCTCAGGCCTTAAATCTACGTAGGGTCTGTTCTCCCCTTCGGCCTGGGTCTGAGTGGTGGCCTGGCAAGGCCCTTAGACATTCCACGAGGCATACTTCATGGGTTATTGCATTCCTGTCGGCCCAAATTTCGAGTTCCATCGCAGAAACACATCAATTCTACCTCAACCCACGTTCATATGCAGCAACAATGTGAGGAATAGTAGGTAGAAGTTCCGTTTTACCGAACCATCTAGCTTCAGTAGGGGGTTGAGACTTGAACTTTACCTTATACCGCTTCTGCGGTCGTCCTCTGCCGCCTGTAGAAAAATAGCCATGTTCCAAAATCTTCTCAACTTCGTAGGCTCCATTCATGGAGGGGGGAATCTTAGATGGTCTATTAGGAAACTCGGTTCCCTCTACACATGGCAAGAGTTTAGACGCGTGAAAGACAGGATAGGTTTTGAGATCAGGGAGTTCATCAATTCGGTAAGAAGGTTCATCTGCATCCCCAATCACCTTGAGAACTTCCCAGGGCCCATAATAGACAGGTAGTAGTTTCTGAGATACGTTTTCTTCCAAGGAAAATTCCTTAGACTTTACATCCCAAATCACCTTCCTCGAACTGCGATGGCCGATGATGTTTGTTGGCCTGCCCAATCATTTGCAGTTGGGCTTTCTGTATGTTTTCCTTTACCTTTTTAATATCTTCTCCATATAGAACTACAAATTCACAAGTGTCTGGGGTAACCTCTGAATCTGGTCTCGAGTCAGATCATCAATGTGGCGTCGAGGTTTCCAATCTTTATGCAGTGCATTGGGCGTTCTTCCTGTAACAGTATGTATGCTATTATTATATGCACTAACAATTTTAAGTAAGTTATCATCCCAATCTATTTGATCAGGTCGAACATACATGTACAGGAGTTGTTGGCACAGATGATTCATCTGTTCAGTTCGACCATTCGTTTCAGGGTGTCTGCCTGACCACATGGTCAACCTGGTACCATAGACTTTCGTCAACTTCTGCCATTGTATACTAGTGAAACAAACATCCCTGTTAGAAACAATGGATTTCGGGAATCCATACTCGGAAACCCATTGCATCTGAAATGTTTGGATGACCAACTCAGTTTCAGCTTCGGCAGGCAAAGGAATGAACATAGCATACTTTGAGAATCTGTCTATAATGACCATTACCTAACTGTTGTCGTTTCTGCTCTTGGTGAGACTCATAAAGTCTATGGAGATAGACTCACCTGGCTCACTTGGAATAGGCAGTCGTCTCAATAGTCCCAAGAGATTCTCATGTGAGGGCTTGTTTCTTTGACAGACAAGACAAGTCTACACATAGGTTAGTACATCCTCTTTCATTCTTTTCCATTCAAAGCGTTCCCTTACATCAACATACGTCTTCTTAAAGCCAAAGTGTCCCTCGGCATCATGGCATTCCCCAATTATTAAACTCTTGATCTGTTCTTGGTGAGGAATACATAATCTTTCTTCAGTTTCATCTAGGTAGAAGAGTAAGTTGTCAGTCATTCGATATTTTTGGAATAGTTCAGGGTTCTTTCGTAGGGTCCTAATGATAGGACTCCAAATAGGATCACTCTCATATCCCTTTTGGATCTGTTCCTTTAATTCATTTCCAATATTGAGGTAGGAGACAATAGTTCTAAAGAAATTTGCACGCCTGGATAAAGCATCCACAACCACATTGGACTTCCCTTTGATTGTTTTCAATTCAAAGTCAAAGGTGTCAATGAAAGTGGATCATCCTAATAACTTATCAGAGAGTCTAGGTTGAGTCTTGATCCACTTCAGAGTAGAGTGATTTGAGTCGACAGTGAAGTGTCTCCCTGACAAGTAGTGCTTCCAGGTGTCCAGTGCAACAACTAAGGCATACAATTCCCTCTCGTAGGTGGAGTTGGCCACTTTCTCTGACGAAAGTCTCCTGGACATAAACTCAATAGGCCTATATCCCTTACTGTCGTCCTGTTGTAGCACAACCCCAATCCCATACCGACTTGTGTCAGTTGTAACAATAAAAGGGAGAGAAAGATCAACAATTTTTAAGACAGGGTAGTGAGTTAGAAGATGTTTCAATTTCCTAAACGATGACTCACAATCTTTGTCCTACAACCAAGAGGGAGAGAAAGATCAACAATTTTTAAGACAGGGTAATGAGTTAGAAGATGCTTCAACTTCCTGAACGACGACTCACAATCTTTGTCCCACAACCAAGGTTTTCCTTCTTCAGAAGTTTTTTCATAGGAGCAGCTATCAAAGAAAAGTTTCTGATGAACTTCCTTTAATAACTAGCAAGTCATAGGAAAAATCTCAACTCAGTTATAGTCTTAGGTTGGGGTCAATCTCGAATTGTTGTTATCTTCTTTTCTTCAGGCCTTAGTCCTTCCTCATTCACTATATGCCCTAAGTACAAGATTTCAGGCTTAGCAAACTCAGATTTTTTCAGGTTCAGTTTGAAATTGTCCTCGCGCAATTTCTGCAAAACCATTTGTAGATGTTTCTCGTGATTTTTTAGTGTCTTACTATACACTAGAATGTCATCGAGATAGACTACTACGAATTGATCCAACCATTGACGAAACAATTCATTCATTGACCTTTGAAAGGTCGCAGGTGCATTAGTCAAACCAAAAGGCATAACCACGAACTCGTAACGATCATACCTGTTCGGAAAACTGTCTTGTGTTGATCTTTGAGAGCCACCTCGATCTGATGGTACCCTGACTTGAGATCAATTTGACAGAAGTACCTGCATCCTTGCAAATGGTCCAATAGGTCGTTAATGCGCGGAAGTGGTTCTGCATTCTTTACAATGACGGAGTTCAGCCCATGATAATTAATGCATAGTCGAAGTTCACCTTCCTTTTTGGGCACGAATAAGACAGGGGCACCATAAGGAGATGAGCTAGGGTGAATCCATCCTTTATCTGTAAGTTCTTGTACTTGTTTACGAAGTTCCTCAAGTTCTCTTGGAGACATACGGTTACTTCCGGGAATATTATCGATCGTGTGCTTAATAGCACGCTCAGTGATTCCTGTCGGCTCAGTCTGCAAGTCCATATATTCCTCAAAAAGTTCTTCAATAGAAGGAGGATAGGATGAGGAGTACTCACCTACTCGTTTAACGAGTACCATCATCACATCCTAATCCAACTTCTTCTTGAAGACCATTTATTTGAAGGTTGGGTAACTTATACAATAGAAAGACAAGGTAGAGTCAGAGCCAAACCTATGATATAACTTAATTGTTCGCATTTCGGACTTTTCGTCCTTTAGCTTTACAATTTTTTCTTTGAACCTTGACTACTGGGTCGGCTTCCTCGTGCCAATCCATTCCTAGAATCATGTCGAAAGGCAGGTTTTTTT